GGGGCCGGCCTGGGCCACTGGGCTGGCCGGCCAGCTGGGCCGGTGGGCCGTGATGAGGGGGATTCTCCCTGTTTCTTTTTATCCATTTCCTGTTTTGTTCTTTTCCTTTTATTTATTGTTTTTTTACTTTCTTTTCTGTTTAGTTTTTACTTAATATTTAAAATGATCCCTAAAATAGTAATAACACAAAACCCACTGCAAACAAAAGGTTTTACCCCAAAACCATTTAGTTTAGTATTCTATTAATTATAAAATCATTTAAATATTGGTTTTTGCTACTGTTTTATTCACCTTAGAGTATTTAAACATTTTATGAAAGTGGGGTTTCTGCACCACAATTAATTGCGTTTTATAAGTCACAAAACGAACATTTTAGTTTTAAAGTTTGAAACTTTTGATGTTTGCCTTTATTTCAAATTTAAATTTTGGATTGATTTGAATCAACGTGGGACTTAGCAACAGTAGAAGTGGTGACCTGGCATCATTGGTAGAGGATTACTGTAGCTTGATTATCCGGGCATCACAAGAAGTCTCCTCAAATTCCTTCAAAGCTGAAATTACATGGATAGTTTGGTACCTGATAGGCTGCACACTCTTTATTCGACTCTCCCAACGAGTACATGACAAAGGCTCGAGAGTTAGTTTTGTTCCTTTTGGAAGATAGTCAAGTAAAATCTTCCACCTTTTAGTAGAACATGAAAACAACATTTATATCCGTTGTATAATACCAAATAATGTAATAGCCTGTTTGCAAGATTTTGCCATATCACAAAGAGTGAGATTCAAACTATGACATGCACATGGCATATACAATGCTTTGGGGTTTTCTTTAAGGAAGCGACTCCGAACACCTTGGTATTGTCCTTTCATGTTGGAACCATTGTCATAACCTTGACCTCTCACATCAGCAACATTCAAATAAAAAAACTCAATGTATCCACCAATACCTTCAAAAGCCCCAACCTCGATGTGTCCTCAACCTTTAGGAACTCTAGGAAAAGCTCCTCCACTCTCGGAAGGTTGCTTGACATATTGACACAACGCACAATGAGACTCATTTGTTCTTCATGGCTCACATCCGGGGTACAATCCAAAATAACTGAAAAATACTTGGCATCTTTGATGATCTTTAAAATTACATTTCTCACGGCATTAGCAAGAACTGAGATCAACTCGTTCTGGATTTTGTGGCCAAGATAATGATGATGGATTTCACTATTTTGAATACACCGAATGTGTTCTTGCATAACATGATCAAATTCAACAATCATTTCAATCGTGCTCAAAAAATTACCATTATTATCTTGATACAACTTCTCATTTGATCCACGAAAAGCCAAAGTATGTTTTGCAATAAACTTCACAGCTGAAACTATTCTTACCAGAACTTGTCTCCAACCTCCTTCTCCTTTGCCATCCCCCTTTGCATATCATCATCAATTGTCTGATTTTTGCTTAGTCTCAACCTAACTTCATTCCATGTATTCATGTTTGTCAAATGCTCAACACTGTTCTCATGATCTTTGAGACGCGCACTCAAACGCTTCCAGTCATTCAATCCATCAGATGCCAGCATAGACTTGCTTAGTTTTGATTTGAACAACTTGCAACAAAAACAATATACTTTGTTTGCACCTTTGTGGTAAACCAACCACTTTCTGTCAACAAACTCACCATTACTTAACTTCCTGGAGTAAAAAGCATATGAAAAATGTCTACCAATGGTGTCCTTCTCGAACTCCAGATCCGGTACTCTAATAGGTCCCTTCTCAATTAAAATATCCCTTTTGCTATTGTCAAGAACTTCCCATGTTCTTGGATCAAAAATAAATGAAAGGGAATCTTCATGTTCATCATTAGAGGAAGGCTGCAAATTTTCCTCCTCCATTGTACAGTCAGCATCAACTTCAAAATTTATTTGCTCCCCTGTGCTCGCACCATCTTCATTCACCTCAACATCTGGATTTTCATGCTTAGAAGTAGTTTCTTGCCCTTGTTCTTCACTGACATCAACATTGCTTGAAGATGTAAAGAAGTTATTCAAAGAACCCTTCAGTGCTAGAATTTTCAGATCACTTTCTTTCTTTTTCCTCCTTTTTTCAGCCCCCGACAATTGCTTCTTCTTAGGTAACATGGCAGGCTAATGTCCTAAAATCATGAAGAAAAGATCAAAAGAGCATACAAAGAATTAGGAATTTATAGATGAGATGATTGGAACCCTAGACATGTTACATAGAATGACAAAAAATGATAGATTGGATTAGAATACGTACATACTAAATAAAGAATAAATAAACTACTGAAATTGTCAAATTGAGGTTTGGGAATGGACAGGAACATGGATGCATACTTCTTGACTTCCAGTCGGATGCGTATTTGTATAGGTATTTCTGTATTGCCGCGGTGCCGAATGCCGGATGGCCGGGCTGCCGCCTGCCTGCCGGACTGCTGTGTGGCGGCCAGGCGAGGGCGACGCGGCAAGGGCCAAGGGGCAAGGCGCCGAGCGAGCTAGAAGGCCGACGGGCGGGCGAGGGCGACGAACCTACGAAGGAAACGAGCAGGCATGTTCCTAGCCCTGTCAACTAGCGTGAGTCACGGCGCCGCTTCGCCTTCGCTAATCCATCAGCGATCACTAGCTAGCTATATCTGGGCCGCCTAGCCCATCTTATTTCTTTTCTTTAATTCTTTTGTAATTTTTACTTGCTTTTTGCTGGGCTATAGTATATGTATATACTCCATCATGCCCCCCCTCGCCTGGGCCCTGGGCCGTCGCCCCGTCGGCCATACCCCAGGGCCGGCCCTGGTGGGGTAGCGGCTGAGGAAAAGAGAGAGGAGAGAGAAAAGAGAAAATGAGAGGAGAGGGGAGAGAGAGGGGCTGCCAAGTGGGGCAGCGGCTGAAAAAGCAGATGCCGGCGTCCCCAGTTGCCCCCTAGGGGGCTGGGTGTGGGGTGGGCGCGCCGACCGAAATCCGGTGCAAAACGACGTTCTGGGGGCCTGGTTGGGACGTTTTTTACCCGCCGGTGCTAAAGAAAGGTGCTTGGGGGCGTCGTGGGGGCCCTAGTGGAGATGCTCTAAGCACCAACGATTGGAATTTATGGTTGCTAAGCTTGCTTCATTTAATGATTTAGCAACTAAAGTTCTTCATGTATTGGTGGGTTTCCTTTCTTTAAATATTTTATCTAGGTTCACGCGCTTAGCATTGTTTTTTTTAGGGTCATCACACTCATCTCTTCCCTCTTCTACATCAGATTTTTTATCTACATGAAAGATTTAGCATCCGTACAAGATGAAGTATTGGAAGAGGCCTAACTAAATCTTGAAAGGCGGCTGATAGGCGCCGGCGCGCCGGCCCAACTTTGGGCCGGTCGCACCAGGACCACACGATAAAACGCTTCGTAACCACATGATCTTCTTTCTTCCACCCCGCACTTGTTCTTCCTCCTCGCACTCTTCATGGACGAGCACATGACCAGCCTCAAAGCGCCACCCACGCGCTCGTTCGTCGCCACCCTCGCCGCCCTGGCTCCCGTCGCTCGCCGTAGAATCTCAACCCCAACGCTTTGCCACTGTCAACGTAAAAAAAAGTTGTTGACTGCGCATCCATGGTAGTAGCAAAAATAGACAACGGATGTATCAATTCATGAACGCCGTAGTAGCAAAAACGACAATGGTTGCAGCAAAAAAAAAACATAGTCATGGATCTCGGCGCGTCATGGAAGAAGAGATGTAGCAATTGACAACACCGATAGTAGCAGAACTCAAAACAGTTGTAACAAAACAATTGGTACACTTGTTCCACCAAACAAAAACACATGGTAGCAAACTTTTTTGGTTGATTCCAGCAACAAATGAAACATGGTTGTAGCAAAAATTGCTACACTGCTTCTGCCAATCAAAAACATGGTAGCAAAAAATTAAGATGGTTCCAGCAAAAACAAAACATGGTAGTAGCAAAATTGATACGCCCTGGTTCCAGCAAAACAGAAACATGGTAGCAAAAAAATGGTTGATTCCAGCAAAAAAAGAAGACGGTTGTAACAAAAATTGGGGCTGCTTCCAGCAAAACAGACCCTCGCCGGATCTCCCAGCACTTGTCGCCGTGGTTTCAAGCGATCCTGAACGCCGGTCGCTGCGGCTCTCTAGCACTTGTCGTCGTTGTCTCCAGCACCGGTGGGTGTTGGTTGTAACACTTGTCGCCTCCAAATCTTGTGGCCACCGTCCCGGCACAGCATAGTTGCCAGTCCGAGCACCAGGCAGCGCCATCGGATGCAGCTCTAATCCACGGCCGGTTGCAGCTCCTCGTCGCCACGGTTGCATCTCCACCAAACCAAGTCTGCAGATCCCGTCGCCCGGTCCCAGCACCAGGCGACGGATTGGACAGAACAGCCGGCGGAACCTCCCTGCCACCGAAGTCAAGAGTGCAACCAGGGTCCAGGGTGCAGCCGTCCAGCGCGCTGCCTGAGTCAATGGGGTCAAGCTCCAAGGTACAGACGGGGCAACGGCAGGTTGCACGGGCGCGAGGCTGAGGGCATTGACCTGGGCGGAGGTGCGCGAGGAAGATCTGGATAGAAGAGGAAGATGCGAGAGAAAGAGATGAAATGAGATGCGTCAAGGGCAGGTGCGCGAAGAGATAAGGTAGCTGCGAAGCGGTGAGTGGGCCAGTGCTACATGGAACAAGCAGGGGCGATGGATTCTAACTCATCCGACGACGCACGCGCGACCGGCCCAAGCTTCGGCCGGTCCGCCGCTTACAAACATTTCCCATCTTGAAACCCTCGCAAATGTGCAGGGCCGGTCCAGTTTCTCTCGGCCCAGTGCCCAGGTTTCCAGCGATCGCAACCGATACCACCCCCAACGCGGCCACTCCACGCCCACACGTCGCATTCTCCCCCTTTCGTTGTCCTTCCCCGTCCCATTCCCTCCGCTTCCCAGTCCGCAGCAGTTCCGCACCGACACCCTCACCCTCCCCAAAGCCCTAACCGCTCGCCCGCTCCGCCGCCATGAGGTCCAAGGCCAACGGAGACACCGCGTAAGTCACCTGCTCCCGCTCCCCCGCCTCCTCTTCCTGCAGGGTTAACGTTCATGGCTTTCGGTCGTACCGACTATCTTGGTCTCCGTTTCCGCTGATGATTCCGTGGTGGTGCGCTGCAGGTTCAAGGCCTCCGGCAAGAACAAGACGGCCACCGGCGGCGTCGCCAAGCCGAAGCGCGCCCCCACCCCCTTCTTCGCCTTCCTGTAAGCCCTCACTCCCCGCCACCTCCCCCAGATCTGTTCGTCTCCGTACTCTAATATGTTTTGAAACTTCGGCGGCAGGGCTGAGTTCAGGCCACAGTACATGGAGAAGCACCCCGAGGCAAAGGGCGTCGCGGCCGTGAGTCTCCCACTCTTCTCTTTTGCCAGTTTGCTTCTAGGCTTTTGCTTTTAGGGTTTTGCATCTAGGGTTTCGTTTCCATGGCCCATGGCTCATAAGTGTGTGCATGTGCTGCTTGTTCTCTCTCTCCTTTTAGGTCACCAAGGCGGCTGGGGAGAAGTGGCGCAGCATGTCGGATGAGGTTTGTCTGGTCTTTGCGCTGCTTATGCAATTTATATTGTGGAAACTTGCTCCGGTGCCCGTTATACTTGCCACAACTTGCCAAAATACTACTCCGGAGTACTAGGTTGTCGCACCCGTTGTGTTAAATAACTAATTTTCAGTCCGTTGCCCCAAGATGATAACACAGCGAGTCTCGGTTACAATGTCAGTGTGTCAGAATACGGATGATGTTTATATGATCTTTGGAGTGCTTGTGTAATTAATAATGTTGTTGGATACCTGTCCAGTGCCGTTATATTTGCCGCTTACCAAAATAACACCCAAGCTGTGCTCTATTACCCTTAACTGATAACGCTGTCAGTCTCTGTTACAATGTTCTGGCTTTCTAAAATATTTCGCTCGAGGTTAGCAAAGGGAAAACGGAAATATGTTACCCCTTATCTGCCACTGTCTTGCTGAGCTGTTTAATAACTCCAAGCGTCTGTTTGGTGAAGGAAAGATGAATTGTTTGGTCCTAACTGGTTAATGCATGCCTTGTTTAGGAGAAGGCAAAGTATGGCGGCAAGAAGGCAGATGCCCCAGCAAGCAAGGCGGTGAACAAGAAGGTAGTGTTATCGCTGCCATGAATCTTGTGAAGTAAAAGCTTATACTGCTATGCATTTAAGTAATATCAGTTTTGGGGTAATAATGTTGTTTTCCATTTTTATCAGGAGAGCACCAGCTCCAAGAAGACCAAGACTAACGCTGACGAAGAAGGTTCTGACGTTGAGGATGATGAGGTATATAAAATTTATGCATCGGTTAAGGTGGCATAAATTGCAGTGCTGATGGAATTTACTTCTTGTTGCTAACATATGTTTGCTTGTCTTATCGCAGGAGGATGAGGAGTAAATAGTAGATGAGGGAACAGCAGCGGTGCAAATCAGCGTTTGCTGCTTAGGGTTTAGATTGCCATGTCGATGTCCGGATTATGTAATGTTATGTAAGGAGAATGTTTAGATGCGTACTCCTGGGCTGTGGCATGCTGGAGATGTCTTTGTTTGACAAGAAAAGCTTAAAACCCTTGACTGCTTTTCTTTCGTGGATTTCCACAGCATGTGGAAACAGTTATTATGCTTGCTTTTATCTACTGATCTGATGACTAGCCTGCTGTTGGATTGCTATTAATTGCTTTATGTCTTGTGTTCGCCTTTCACTTATTGCTTCTCCTGCTGCACTTGCTTGAGTTTTGTGCAGCAAATTTTACTATTTATTAAGATTGTGTCCAATTGCTTTTTCCTCTGTAGTTGACCAATGGCCATCTGTTCTACTCCCTCCGTCTCATAATGTAAGATGTTTTTTGACACTAAACTAGTGTAAAAAAACGTCTTACATTATGGGACGGAGGGAGTAACATTTTGCAGTCAGGAACGGAAGTTTTTTTTCTTCTACTTAGACAGGATGTAAAAATCGATGCCAGTTGCTGGCTTGCCGCTGGTGGTTGTGTGACTTGTGTTAGCATAGTGCAGCCATGAAGCGTGGTATTATCTTCATCAGATTCAAACACGTTAAGTTTGCCCATGTATTCTTCAATCCAAATTTGTGCAGTGAAACAATTGATGGTGTAAGGTACCCTCTGTTTGCTATCTACAACAAAATCATTTTAAGGCAGCGCTGCATAATGTTCCACACGCGTGAGGTGAACTTGAACCGGAACTACTTGACGGACGATTTTTTGTTGAACGACGCATGCACGATAGCTGATCCAAGCGCCTACGGCTGCTCAGACTTGCCAGTGGATGGTTTGTGATGCAGTGTCGTGCAAGCGTCGTGTGTGTAGCACTGCTCAACTTGAACATGGCAGTAACCTGTCAAGAACCTTAGCAAGTGTAAAGAGAAGTGAAGAAGACTATCTACAGCTGACACCATGGCAAGTGCAGTTGGCCATCTCAAACAAACATAAAAAAGAGCTTTATAACTAGACGAAAAGCAACTGCATATAGCTGCCATTGCTATGATGAGCTCTTCTCGTTTTTCGTGGTTCGGAGCAGCTCTTTCGCCATTGACGAGAAGGATTGAGCACCATGAGCCATGTCTGCGGACTGAAGATTAATGCCCTGCAGGAAGCACATTTGTACATGTTAATGCCCTTTCAGGTTTATGCAGAATGTTCTTTACAGGTGTCTTCCCTGACATTCATAGGGAAATTGGGAAGTTTTGCAGAACATAGAGAAATCGGGAATGAGAGAACTTTGTTCGGAAACTGAATTACGCGGTAGGTCCCGTACAGAGCAACATGGTAATAGGAATAGGCATAATACTATCAGTAGGGAAGCAAAATGATGTTTACCTCCAATTTTTTTATGTTCTCTTGCAGCTTGTTTCCAATCATTTTTGGAACACTGGTTGAGTCCTGTTCAGATCAACAATGAAGGAAAGGTAAGCGAATGCATCAACTAGTCACATTTCTTCCCTTGAGGGGAAATAACCTATTATGTTGTGCACTATTCTATGCATTGCTAATACGATTCCATGTAGATGGTCATCAATCGGAGTAGATCAGCCTGTCTATGGACATAAATGTGCAGGTCATAATTTCAATGATATACTGACGCTTCTATGCACTCACATCACTTGTTGCATATCCATACTTCATCTTTATCTGGTCAACTTGTCTAACTGATGGTTCATCTTCAGGCTTCTTATTTTCTGCATTCACCTTTTCTTCTGTTCTGGGCTTCAGTTTTCCTGCATATTACACATTTGAACAACATATCACACTAAAATAGTTGAACTAGAGCGCTAATTTTGAAACGCCGCACCTTGGATTGCAAAGTTAATTACAAACATCTTAGTATAATACTTTTCTGACCTCTAAGAGCCTGGAGTCCCTTGCTGAATTTCTGTTTGCTTAGACCTGCGAAGTGCGGTCCTTTCTGCTTATGTGTGTTGTCTTCAATGTCGATATCATCTTCAGAAAGAAACATATTAGAGTAAGTATACCCAGAAAAAGTAATAGTCGTCTAAAAATTATTGTAATAAGGTGTTCTAAAAAGTGATAGGTGCCAGGCAGACGATGTGGTAGTGGGGCTAGCGCCTAGTTGGGCTAGGCGGGAGGAAGGCACCTAGGGGCTAGGGCCTTTTAGAACTGTGAACAACTGAACATCGTATACCTATGTCTAACTCAATATTTTCATCATCTTTCAGTGAACTGCTCCTCCTTGCAGATGGTGGAGTGAAGTTCGCTGATGAAAATATTGAGGCCAGTTCTTCAGATGTTGTTGCGATGAATTGTCCATTGCCATTTGTATCACTCTCGTTTGTCTTGCTCCCTTTAGTGTCTTTCATAATCATCCCAAATAAGCCCTGGAGAATTTCCATTATTAGAAAGAAAGATACACAGATGCCTCAACTGACCATAAGATTAATCAGTTACCTTTTTCTTTTCTTTGGGAGACTTAACCACATAGGAAGATTCTTCCCTGAGAGGGCGGTCTTTTCTGTATACCATATTAATATTGTCTACATGCCTGCGTACAAACCACACGCTTAGATAACTATGTTAAAAATTGTAAGTTCAGCTCGAAATAAATAATGAAATCATCGTGCCCGCTATTTGACGATCATAATAGGAGCTCTAGAATGGCTCAATGGGTCTGTGGTAGTGCACTAAATTGCAAAGCTCCATTATTGGTAAACAAGGTCAACTATTCATCATTACCAAAGTTATAAACTAACCATGCTACCATACCTGTAGATGTCATCTTGACAGAGAGTAGAAAAAAAATATGTCTCCTCTCCCTTAATCTGTATAATCAAAGAAACTATTTATAAGTAAAAGCTACTTTTAAAATCATGAATAGAGCTATACTGAAGTTACTACAGAAGATGTCTCAAAATGTAAAGTTATAGTACAATCCATACCAAGATGATTTCTCCATCAGATGAACATGTTATGGAACTAGAGGAATTCAAGTTTTTTGAATGTACAAAACCTCGTAAAGAGGCTTCCTTCAACAAGGATAAATCTGGGAGGGACCTGCAGTTTCATAAATACACTAGAATTCATCGACTTCATTTGAATGCCCTCGACCCCTCGTGCAAAGTTTTCAACTCAGCTGTTATCTCACCTTGTTTCTACTTTTCCGTTGGAGAAGACTAGTACAATTCCAATTTCAGAAGAAGCACCATGGATAACAGATGCAAAACAACAGCTACCATTTAACTTTTTCTTATTAGTTATCTTCTTCATTCCCTGCACAAAGGAAAGCTCCATATGAACAACAACACTCACATAAAAACAGAACTTCTGAGATAACTGGAAATACAAATACCTGAATCGCATGGCTCAAGGAAAATAAGCGGATTGCATCTTCTGTGCAAAGCAACAGCAAAGATTCCTTCAATGCTGTATCATGGTTATCAGATCCTGGTGCTTCGTTTGGAGATAACTCTAGATGATGGCATTATGTGGCTTTAGAATGGCATAATAGTGCAGTAATAGTACCTTGAGAATGGGGTTGGTGGGTAGATATACCAAAAAAAGGATTATTATAGCTCACCCAATGTCTGCAGCAGAAGGGCTCTTGTGGGTCTGTTTGTCTGAACTGGGTTGGCATTCAAAAGTTTTCCAGTTTCTTCCTCGAGAATACAAATAGAAGAATCTTCCATTCCTACCATCAGAAGATCCTTATCGTACCCATTGTGGCTGTAGAGTTCAAATTGCAAGGAGGCAATTCCACCAGAGACACGACACTCAAGCTGTTTTTGATACAATATAGTAGCATCATCTACTTTGATAACTGATACCTGAAACATGTTTTTCCAGACATGTCACTTTCTTGGTTGAATAATGAGCTCAAATTTTGAGTTGAATAACCATATTTAACGAACTGCTTTCATGAGATAAATGATTGTGTGATAGTTCCTCTATCTCTTTAAAATAATCATCAAAACAATAAATAACATATGGTTCAGGCCGGCGTAAGCCCGCCGTAGATAAATAAAAATAATAATAAATAAATAACATACATGACATGAGTCACTTCATATCAAGAATGGCGAACTGCAAAGTCTTCAAAGAAGTAACCACTATTTTGCTTAACAAGATACTAAAACTTGTTGAACTGTGAGTAATATTAACCATTTAACTTTAAAAATTTCTGTGAGATCGCATATCAAACACATATGATATTTAGTACTCCCTCCATCCCATAATATAAGAACGTTTATATTATGGGACGGAGGGAGTAGCTTTGAGTCTGCAGTTTGACTATTGTAGACAGTGGTAAAATTTTAGTGCTACTATTTTGAAACTGTGATACTATGCTTTTATTGTGTTGATTAACGGTGCTTTGAGCCTAATAGTTCAGAAAATCGAGAACATTTTGCACAATGGACAAATTTCTTACAATTCCTTTTTCTGTCCCAACAGCAAAATGCTTCGAGTTAGAGATCATAGAGGTTGAGGTTACAGCTCCCTTGAGCTTTATACTTCTTGCATCGTAGTTATCCCCTTGCTTTCCTAATGAGTCACAAAAATTCTGGTTAACTAACATAGAGAAATTCCATAGACTTAGATATAAAAACATTATTAAAAAGATACATCAACTAGATGATAAGATCAGGCGGTACTGAACTGCTGACAGCCATTTATTAAGCTTATACCTCATATATAAAATATATAAATTGTTTCTACTTGTGGACACCAAAATCAACCAAACATATATAACTCTTGAGAAACTCTACATTATGCGCCTGTCCTTTCTTTTGGAATTAATGCAGCAAACTCCGGATCATCTCTTACTTTTAATTGAAGGTTCGCCTATGGAAACCCTATAAACAACCTTATTATGATAGTTTAGAACTGGGCGAGACAAGCCGCAAACTCATGCTTATTTACTGAAAGGAGGTGAT